TAGAACTTGTCAGTGAATAGGATTTGTTACTGTTTTATATATAATTGGTCTTGCTCTGCATGGCATTTCATCTGTAGAGAATTATTTTACTGCAAAACAAACTTTCTTCTATGTGCTGCTTAACCTTTATCAATTCTATTGCAAGAAATAGGTTGGAATATATCTAGAATACTGTGCTGTTACAAAACTGAAAATTAATCAATGAAAGAGGTGTGTATGAAGTAGAAAAAAAGTTTTAAGGTTTTCTTTTTATATTCTTATGAAAGAATGAAGTTTTATATCTGATGAGGCTGATATAACATCTGGTGAAGTTAGTCTATATAACTTCATTGCTTCTTTATTTTTTTGTTTGTTTGTTTCTGTGGGGTTTTTTTGTAATTTGTTTTTCAGTATTTTTGGGGGTTTTTTTGTGTCGTACTGTGGTTTTACAGTGGTTTATCACAGATGTGATAGCTTCTGTGTGCACACAGCTCTCTAATACACCTTTCCACTATGCCTGAACAAAAATATGTTGTAGGTTGAATGCTTTATGGAAATTACAGTATCTGAGTTTTTCCTTTTAAAAACATTTTTATTTTTTTCATCTCCAATTCTTCTTCACCTCTCTCTAATTATATGTATTAGAGTCTAGCAGAAAAATATTGTCAGTGAACACTACATTTCTGTTGTAATTAAACCTTTTAATGCTCACTTTTATCTAACTGAGGCATTGCTTTCTATATATGATGATGTGGCTGTCAAAACTGGGAGATTGTGCCTCCTTCACTACCATGACTGGTCAGAACTAGTCAAGTGGAGAAAGGACAAGGAAGGTCTTCATATTGTACTGAAAACACCATTCTTGGTGCTGGTGGTGCATTGCTTACAAAAGAACAGCTTTTACAATACCTAGGAAGAATTGTATTCCAAAGGGTAGACTTTGGACTACAGAGTTGTTTTCCCTCTTTCCTGGCTACATTTTGTAGTTAGTTGACTAGATATGCTTTGGGAGTGTTTATTTTGATCAGTGCCTCAAATGAGCTAATAATGATGATGATGCCTAAGCTTTTGAATCCTGCCAAGAGCTAAAAATTCAGTGACACTGGTCCTTAAGAAGTACATTTCTTATATTCCTGCAAGTGTAGGCTTAGCCTTCATGATGATTACAGGATGCATTGTTAGGGCTGTGAAGCAATGAGGGGGTTTAAGTATTTCTTAAGCATTAAACTTCAGTAACTAAACACTTGTAGGAGTCTGCTGCAATAATTACTACTTTTTCCATTGTATTCAAACACTCTTGAGTATTTAAATTGGTCAAAATGTTTATTTCTGAAATAATATTGGATAAATAGTGATTGTCATCTTCTGGATTTTAGAACTGGGATATGAAAAGGTATGTGTTATTTTCCAGTGCCTAAACAAAACCAGCCTTTTTAATTTTTTTTTTTTAATTATTTTTTATTTTTATTTTTTTCTTCTCATCATACACCTAATTTTAGGCTTGGAGCCCTTTACAGGTTGACAGGTATATAGGTAAGAGTGATGTGATTGACAGAACCTAGTCAGATTTCCAAACATCCCTCTGCACAAACTTATAGTGAAGCTAAGCTGCCATTCTATGAGATACTTCCTTAGATACAGAATTGTGTCATCATGTTCATATGGGATCAGAGTACATGCCAAAAAACAGTGCAAAAGTTTGTAGGTAAAAGCTACATTGGAATTGCAAGGACAGCATGTAATTATGAAGTCCTGCAGAAGGACTCACCAACTGCGAGAGACTGAGAAATAAAATGACAGCCACATTTTAGTGTTGATAATGAGATATAAAAAAATGCACACTCCATAAAATCTAAATTTCACACATAGAATTATGGACTCAGTTGAAGCTTGCCATTGCTGCTCTGCAGCAAAATGGTGGGGTTCATAAAAACATCAGCATAGAGCCCAGGGATGGACAAAAAAAGGAAATGAAGTGTTAAGAATGGTTAAAGTAGTTCAGTACAAATTAGGTAATGGTATAAAGCTGTTGAATAAATTATGACTCACCCATATTTTGATTACTGTGTGCCAGCTCTGCTCTCGTTATCTTCAAAGAATATAATGCTGTTAGAAAGAGCTTTAGAGAGAAGGATGAGCCTAATCAAAGAAAAGGGAAAGACTTTTATATGAGATTGGCTGAACAATCTGGGACTCTATAAATTTGAGACAAAATTACATTTACATTTGGGATATATACCAGTGGTTTACCAAGTTATGAATGATATAAAAGGCTGACTGGGATCAATTTGTCACTGATTTGGGTCGTTAAAGGAAGTCTGGTATAAACCATACAAATGGAAACATCTCTTAATGCTGTCAATTTTAAACCCATGGATTTTTCCAAATTACACTGTGTTCACTGAAAGCTTGCATGGTTTTAGGGAGAAAATGGCCCAGTATATGGACAAGAAATACACTAGGAATGGCTAAATAGGTGAGAGTGTGTGTGGTTCAGGGAGTTCTGGCACTGGATCTTCATTTGTATATGAATGTAGGTACTTCATAAACAAGGACAGGCAATTTTATTTGGAGAAATAAACGACTATTTGTGTACCATCTGGGAACTGTGTAGAAAATTCTGGGATCAAGTCTGATTCCCTTGAGTAGCATTTGAATTACCTGAAATACTTAACACCTCCCATTCTCATTCATTGTGTCAGTTTTGGAACAAATGAGACGGGACAGTTGTCTCCATAACCCTGCTCTGTGCCAGCCCAATTCATACCCTGGAAACAGTTTCTCTCTCTTCTCCTCTCCTCTCCATTAAAGAAAGTGAGCATCTCTCAGAAGTGCACTATATGGGCATGCAATTAAATTGTAATAAGTGGAAGGACATTTCTGGTTGCACAGACAACTAATGTTTTCTGGCTAGAGTGATAATTTGAATTTTTTTTTAGCTGAAATGAAAGTGTCAAGGTCATTCTTTCTAGGACTGTAAACTGAAGAGCAGTGCAGATGAAGTGCAGGATTCACTCCCAAATACTTGTGTCTTATTAGGATAAGCCTCCTCTGGTGAAAGCAATGACTCAACAGTCTGTTTTTTCTCAAGTAGTTTGTGTATTTGAGGAAAAGAGCTACCTCAAGTTCTTGGCTGACTTGTCAGCATTTTGAACTGCTGTTTTCACCTATGTGTGCAATTCCCTTTCTCCATTTCCTATTTTAAATGTGAATAGATGTTATCCAATTAAAGCCTGATAATCTTTTAAGTGAGCTTCACTTTTTACTACATTATATCTATAGTTATGAATGTTCAATAGTTGTATTTGTAGCAATTATGAATATAAAATATAATACTATATATAAAAATCTCGGCTCCCTAATATCTGTCCTTTTAATCACTATATTTTTCTTTTGCCTACCTAGTAAACTTTGTCTCTTATAACTTTTCATAGACTTCTTGCCTTTCCACATTTCTCCATATTTTCTGGATTTTTTGTTGTTATTTTTCTTCTTATCATGGATGTCTTTATCTTTCTATTTTCCGTGGATTTCTCTTTTTCTGATAACTTCCTACTCCTGCTAGGTGCAGGTTACTAGGATTAATCTGGCAGAGGTAAAAAAAAAAAAAAAGGAAGTAAATTAATTCCCAGCAGTATCCCAAGAACGGTAGCTTTCTCTCCTCTGACTCCCAGCGTAAGAAGGTATCAACACACAGGAGAAGGACACACTCATAGAGGCAGAGCTTTCCTGAGAATTGGATCTAAGTTATTTCCCAACGAATTCATAACAACCCAGTTAGAGTGAGCACAAATTTAGTTCAGTTCTTAGCATTGATGCTCAAATTTCTTAATTAAATTTCGAGAAACAATGTGCAAGTTTGTGTATGTTATAGAACTGTATTGTCTTGTAAAGAAACCAGTCTGCCAGAAGGACTTTGAATATAATGTTTATTTCTTACTGAGTTGTGTTCCATACCATGCAACCATTTAAATAAAAAAGATGATAATCCAAATTATTAAAGAATTAAAGATATTACATTGATATCCATTATTGGGAACAAATGCCAGCTCTCTGAAAATGCCTGAAGAGTGCATAAGCACTGTCAAACAGTGCTGTGGTCAGAAATGTCAACGGACTGTGAAAGTAGGACTCCTGGACACTAAATTAATTTCCATCATACTGTTGTTGGCCAAGGCAGGAGGAAAATGCAGAGAATGAAGTGGCTTTTGTAACTAAATTCTTGTTGGGCACAAACAAAATTTGAAGGGAAAAAAAGAAATTGGCTAGAAGTGCAGTCTTAGCAAGAATGTCTGGAGAAAGTGCAAGAAGGATTGTAGTCCAGTGCATCAAAATATACATTCCCCACAGGCATCCTTTTTCTGCAGGCAAAGCACAATTTCAGGAACTCTCTGAACCACCACCAAGCAATTCTTCGTTGTTAACTGCCCATTTGGGGTAGGGCAAGACACTGGATGTGAAGACAGTCTCTTCTTTTCTATCATGCATAGAAATTTTCTCATTGCCTTGCAAGAAGGAAGAATGAAGTTTATGATTACTCCATAAATCTCATGCTACAGCTGTTCTTCTTGTTGCCACTGGGGAATGCCACACTATTTCTGTGTTTTCTTGTGCAACTGTGCTGCAGAAGGTTACAGGAGACTATATTGTGACCTCCAGGAAAAATACAAATTTTGCTAACATTTTTGGTTGATCACTTTTGTGCTGAGATGCTAACTTCTCTGAAAGTAATGGCATTTTTTCAGAATTGCATAATTTTTGCACATTTAGCTGAGACAAAGCAGTATGCAGCTAAACATGTTTTTTTCTGGTGTGCTGTGAAGAGCAAATCCGAAGCAAGCCATGTATATGAATGCTATGGAACTGCACCACACTGAGTAATAAATATTCCATTCAGTTGTCAAACCTTGTAGGAACTTCAACTAAATGAAAAAGGCAACGTGTCTTATATCTACACGCTTGCCACCGGGGGAATTCTGTAGAAATGAGTGTTGTAAACATTTTTTCTTTTATTTTGACAGGTAATATTTGAAGCTGAAGTCTCAGATGGAAGAAATGGCTACATTGCCATTGATGACATCCAGGTCCTGAGTTACCCTTGTGGTAAGAAATGATTAAGAGCTGCATTTTTCTCTGTCTTTTCAGGACGTATTTGAAATTGCTGTGGACTGCTCAGTTTTCATCACTTGATCACTGATATTCTTTGTTCTTTCAATAGTATTTTTGTTGCAGCTTCCAGGAAGAAATGTGATTGCAATAGTGATTTACCTGGGTAAAATCTTTTTCTGCCAGGGGTAAATTATACAGGGATAAAAAAATGAGCATTCTTCAGCGTCTTTTTAGTCATACACAGTTGGTGTGCATAATCAAAATGGGTTTTAATGTTAATGTGTATACTCACTGATTAAAGAAAACTGAATTGGCAGATGCTTGTAGGTGGTTTATCAGATTTTATACCCCTTTTCTTTTCTCTCTCTCTTTTTTTTTTCTAAACAGACAAAATAGATTTAAAAAAAAAATAAAGAAAAGAAAGAGCTTCTGGCTATTGAAGTACTGAGGGATACATTTTGTTTATTTTTTTGTGGACAAGCTTCAGGCATTTATGTTTGCCTTTCCCTGCTAATCCTGGGGAATAATTGCGTACATGCAAACACAAGTTTTGACAATGAGAATATTCTATTACTAAAAGATTGTGAGGAAGAAATTGTTATTGTGCATTTCTGGCACTTTTTAATCAAAATTTTTCAGCAATTTGTTTCTCTTTAATTTTTCTCATCTTCCCCTAGACATGCCCTTTCTAAAATATGATTTCATTCTAATGTACCACATGGCCGATAATTTAATTGCTTTCTGAAATGACCAGAACATAACAATATCCTGCTCCAGTTTTGCAAAATGATACCAAATAATAAAGTTCCAATGGCAACCTCACATTTTGTTTTTCTTATACCCCAAACCTTTTAAAAAGATAGCTCTCCGAAGCTACCAAGCTTACAGGATATTTGAGTGAGTTACCTTTTCAATATTTCAGCCAGCCCAGCTATCTGATGTCTGTACTCAGCAAAACTCTGCTTGGATTCAGTATCTGGCTTTCTTATTTATTTTCTTCTTCTTCTTCTTCTTTGTGTTTTGTTTTGAAGTGCCAAAACAAAAGGCACTTGGGTACAGTCATCCCAGCACATTATCAGTATGTTATGGTATTCAGACAAGCTCTTTTTGTTACTGATGTTTAAACCCTGTTTGTTCCAATTTAATGTTTTTTCCTGTGCATCATGTTTTTTAGTAAGCACAAAGAAAGAACAGTTCAGCTTCTGTTTTCCTTAGTTGCTGTTGAGAAAGGAGTGGGTGAGCTGTGTAATGTGCCCATTCCTTAAATGTTTCTGTTGACTTTTGTAGGTCTAGTAAATCCTTCAGGTTGTTGTGCTGCTGAGATTTCCTACAGCCTTTCTTAGTGAGTGTGGGAAATAGATTTGTCAGCTCCTGAAACACTATATCCAATGCCACAAATGATTTTATTTTCCAAAACAAGAGGTCTGAGTTGCACTGCAAACATAACGTGAACAGTATCTATTTGCTTGAGTAGTATGCTGCTAATTGGGTTTTTCTCAGTATGATGGATTTCATACACTCAAAAGTCTTTGGGATAATTCTTGTCAAGCGCTGCTGACATCTTGGCATCTGATCTCCTTCTTTTGGCTTCTATTTTAAAAAGACTTTATTATAACACATGTATAACATGAAGTTAGTAGAATCACCAGGGGAGAAGGAAAGGAAATCCCTCAAACACTGATGAGACAAATAATTTTCTCTCTTCCATTTCTTTTTTAGCCAAAGATTGTTAAAATATGGAGATTGAGGGAGATAATGTTTCTGGCACCTTTATTTCTTTGTAATGACTTTTATTTTTAATTTTTGTTTTCCCCCTCTACAGATAAATCTCCACATTTTTTGAGGCTGGGGGATGTAGAGGTCAATGCAGGGCAGAATGCTACATTTCAGTGCATTGCTACAGGGAGAGATGCAGTGAATAACAAGTTATGGCTTCAGGTAAGGCTAACTCATGCAAGTCTATTTGTCTAGAGGACAAGCTGCTTTCTGGAGATGAAATATTTAAAATTCAAAGCCTTTTATTCTTCTGCATGTAAAATATGTAACTTAAATGGAATTTTATGTCTGTTCAATGGAGAAACTTGTAATCAGTTTTGTAATGTTGAAAAGCTTGGATTGAAAATAAGAACTGGTGTTGGTGCTGGGATAAGGTTGGCCCTTAAAGACATTGTGTGCCTTCTGTCATTGTAACTCAACTCCTCTGTATCAAAATGTATTATTATTAAATGCAGATAATTGACATTTGGGATCTAGTCAGACACAGATGTAACACAGCTGTCATGAATTTTGAGGATTTTTTAATCATGTAAATTTTCTGTCCAAGCAGGTGGCTGAAGGGATGTGACTGTACTTCTGTGTGCATATCAGTTTTACTCAGTAGCATATTAATTTGAAGAGCCTAAAAGGACTGCTGCACATCCTTTTTCTCTGTCTCATATTGGGAGGAACTTTAACTTTTACCTGTGTATAATTATAAATAGTGTGTATGTCAGAATTTAAAAGATGACTATAACCAGAATATAGCCCTTCTTACTATGAAAGAAGAAAAAAAAAAAGAAATGAACACCACCATCCCTCCAAAATACCCAGTCTCCTTTGTATTGTGGCGATGGGGTACCTACATTTAAGACCACTGGTTGAGTAGAATGATGGTAAAGTTTCCAGTTGCTCTTAAAAAAATTAAATTTTACCACTTAAAAATTATTTTAAAAATCACTTTAGTGGTACATGTATAACTTATGTGCATTCTTTAGTCTATATGTAGATCTTAAGAACCAAAATTCCTTTAGAATGGTTTCTAAATATGTCCTCTAAAACTTTACTTTTTTTATAATGTGTATTTCTATTTATTTTCAGAACTAAAAACTATGCAATTTTTGGGAAACATACTTTTAAGTTGTCTATAGTCAGAACTTTAAAATATGTATTTTTTGAAGTAAAGTGTAATCAGTTATTTCAGTCTGATTTCTGTTTTAATAATGGAGTTGACGAATTTTGGCTTACTGTTGCATATAGGCATATGATAAACTTGTAATTTTAAAGAGCTTTTTAAAAAGATGATTAAAAATCTGATATGCAAAATGTATTATTACATACAAATTTGCTGCAACATTAAGAAGGAACACAAGCAGTAAATGTATAGCATTTAGTGAAAAGGTATCACAGCAGTAGGAATGATTTGTACTCCATGTCTTTGAGCAGAAATTTGTTTAAGTTGAATAAACATGTAATGCATTCATTCAGAAAAAGCAGCTTGATTTCTGAGACTTGCCAAATAGAGCACACAAAGCACAAAAAATGAAACTGGCCTGGGTTTTGCTATATCCGAGGCAAGACAATATCACAAGGAGCATTCCAGCAAACCTGTGAAGCGCCACTTGCAGTTGATTGTGGGTCAGAAAGACCCAGTAGAGACAGCCAGCTGGAAATCTTCCCTATTGCTCAGTCCTTGGAGTCAGATAACTCTGACAGATTATCCCTTCTAACTTTCACTCCCCGGAGAAGCCCAGCTAACAGCCAGATCAACTCAGAAAACATATGTTTTGTCCCTCCATATGTTTCACGGGTAGTTTATTTTTTTGTGTGTGTGTACGTGGATCACAGATGTGATAATTTCTCACAGTGTGATAGATGAAGTACTTTAGAGGTTATAACTCGGCTTACCTGGGCTTGTGAAGTGCCCTGATACTCTTGAAGATACCTTGATACTTGAGCTTCTGTTCTCTTGTTCTCCTGTAAACAGTACTGAATTTTCACCAATTTAAGGGTGACTTTTTTTTCACTCATCATTTCACATGGCAATCCTACTTGCCCAATATAAATGTGAATCAGCAACTTTCTCTATATGGATAATTTTCCTTAGATTGCACTCAAAGTTACTGTTGTTGTGTATAGCTAATAGTGAATTTACTTCTTATCCTTAAAAACTGGCATGGATATGTATGGGCCTCGTAAAACACTGGAGTGTAACTTGGAAAAGGTTCGCTCTAACCTTTGACCAAACTCAAGATTCATAAAGCCCAAATAGCCTGAAAGGAAAACTGGCAGATCAAATCAAATGCCTAAGTAATTGTTTTTGAGAGCCTTAAGCTGAAACATTCCAGGAATGTATTTTTCTCATAACAAGAAAGGCCATTGTAAAAAAAAAAAAGAGATGAAGCGCAAAAATGAAAAATAAGTGGATGATGGTAGGGAAGAAAACACTTGCCAAACACATAGTTTTAGAGAAAATAGCTTTTGGTTATGTCCTTATTGAAAGAGAAAAACTATTTCCTTGAGGAGGAAAAAAACAAAACAAAAAAAACAGCAAAGAATTTGCTATTAAAACACATTCTTTGATAAGGAAAAGTTCGAGGAGCAATCTGGGACATCAGGCTTTTTTTGCATCTGAGGAGATCTTAAGATTTCATTTGCTTGCATTGAAGTAGGAAATAAGTGCAGGCAGAGAGGTTGTTGAAGACTCTACCAGTGATCTCTGGCTCTTGCAGTCCTCTGTTTGGAGAAGAATTAAAGTAAATTCAGCAGCTTATGTAAAAAAAATAACAGCCACCCTGCTCTGTATTAAAAGTTCTGCAGTCCCAGTTCTGGCTGCTTCAGCCAGGCTTGGTCTGATCTGCTACGGACTTGGCTGCACCCTCTTGATCCCTCTCTGCATGGATCTGGAGCTTTTGCAGCTCTCCAGTAAGTCAGTTCAGGAAAGTGATCTGACTGAAAATGATTTTGACTCCAATTGGATTTTTGTTGTTGGGGGGATGGGGTTTGGGGAGGACTGTATTGTTGTGGGGTTTTTGTTTGGGTTTTGTTGATTGGTACCATGTGTTTTCTGTGGTTTTGTTTTTGTTTTCTTTTAATTTGTTTGCTTGGTCTTTTGTTTTTTGAGTTTTTTTGTGTGTGTCTTTTTCCCCCATCTTGATTTATGTCTAAATTACCCATGTAAGTAATGCCAACAGGTGGAAAAAATTGGGGTGTTTGATTAGAAGCAGGGAAGAGGGAAAGACTGTAACCACATGATATAAAAATGGGGATTATGGTAGCATGTCTCCTTGTAGACCTATGTAAACTTCAATTTTCTTTTAGTTATTGGACCCTGATCATATACTAGATGTTCTATCTGCAAGTACATTTCCATGCTTGTGTTTTCCCCAGTGTATATATCATTAAGTGCACATAGCTTTATGTGCCTAAAAATAAAAATGGACAAAAATAGGCACAGCGTTTCAATACACAATTTCCTGCATGTTTACTGCTGCAATGACAGTATTTTCATCAACACCATTTTCTGTAAATGTATGTCAGTAAACATTTCAGACAAATAGGGATTAACACTGAATTGAACTTCTCCTGACTTTCAGGACTGCAGATTCTGCTGTTTGTTTGTTTGTGGATTTGGTCTCTTGTCCCCTTTGATATCACTTTCCTGCCACCTCTGTGTTTTGCAGCCTCAGTGGACCAATGTTTGGGACAGTCAAAGCTCTGTCATTGAAAGATAAGCAGTAAAGGTAACAGAAGTTTTCAAAAGTTGAGGCTGCATTAATACAGAACAAATATTTGCACAGATAAAGAGATTTAACTGGTTGAACAAGATGATCTGAAACACACCTTTGTGACAGTATGAATAGTAGGCGTGGGTGCAGGGCAGAAATGCACCTCAGATTCTTTTGTTCTTCACCTTTTTTCAACCTGATCTGCTATCAAATCTTTTGCAGTTATGAGCTGAAGGATACTCTTTATGACCTGCAATTATTAGCAAATTCTGAAAGGCTTTCAAAGTCCTTAATTTTTTGTTTAAATGTTAAACAACATTGATGTTGCTTATGAAATGCATTCAGTCACTCACAGTGCTTAGTATCTTTTTTACTTGTCATTCCCTTCAGAGTGCAATGCTGGGGGGCTTTTTTTCTCAGTATTTTCCAACTTCTCTTAAAATTTCCACTGTAATATATCACATACCAACAGCTGTAGTTTGGTCTTACTGCCCACACACACTGAAGCAGTTGGGTTGCGTAACAGGAGTCCCTGAGCCCAAGGTGCTAAACCTAGGTTTTCTACCTGTTATGCTTTGGTATGCTCTGATTTGTAAGCTTTAGGAATTAGCAGAATTCCTGGCTGAAAAATGCTTTCCTGTAGGAGGTGACCATAAGTGTGTGTGTAGTCTTAAAGAAATGAATAGAGTATGTACAGATAGATATAATAATTAATTGGTTTTTGCCCACTTACTGCTGATTTTCTTTCTTTCTAAAGCCTATGATTTTTCTTTCTTTGAAAAGATGCTTAAAGAATAAAGAATTTTTCTTTTATTAACATTTTATGCACCTTGCTGCTTTGTGCACGTTGATTTGCTAAATTAATGTAAGAAAGACCCATGTTTTATTCTATTTCCCTGGGAAATGTCATGCATTCCACTGGAATTGTGTCAGTAAATAAGCTTGCAAACAAGTCACTTCTGCATGGTAATCCTATGCTCAGAATGGGTATGTGTTATGCATTAAATTTTTGAAAGAATAGTGCACACAGGGCATTCTAAGCATGAAAATGCAAGAATGGGGTGGGGGCTCTGTATGCTTATTTCATTTAATGATTTCTTTGCTAAGATAGTAGAGAAATAGAATTGACTGGGTAGATTAAATAGCGTTTGGGTACACCAAGACTCCAGAAAGCAGTGTATGTATTGTCCAGCATTTGTTTTGCCAATCTAATTGGGATATCAGAGCAATAGGGTTTTTTGCATAATCGGGCTGTGTTTAACAGCTTCCTGAGCTGGGAACAATTCTGGCTCCCAGAAGCCCAATACGATTTTCAGTGTCTTATCGATGTCCGGTTTAGCTGGACACTCGTACAGTGCAGCGCATAGAGCTTTCTGCTAGAACATCTGTTAAACCATATGTCTTGGCACCTGGTTCAGATGGCGATAACTGCGGCACTAATGAGTCCATCCATCA